TCTCTTTTCAAGGGATTTGTAAATTAAAATGCGCTCTAAGATGAAATAGAGGAAATCATCTCCTTTCCCTAAGCGTTTCCAACAATGTCTGGGCAGTCACAGAACTGGCTTGGCCTTGCAGAAACCCACTGGGACAAGTGGAAAGGGAAAAATAATATCTAGAATATATGTAGGCTATGTTTCACAAACACCTCTAGGCCAGTCCTACCCACCCTGAAGGTACACAAGAAAATCAATGAATTTCCATGTTTTTCACTGTTTTTCCAGTTGGTTCTTGAAATTTTAGTGCTTCCTGATTTCTTTTCTTTTTTTTTCTTTTTTTCTTTGTTTTTTGCCTAAGAGCCATCTAACCTATTAATTAATATATTATTTAAAAGCATTTAATTAAATCCACCACTTGACTGATTTTAATTTTTTTTCATTTTTATTTTGGATTCAGAAGGCATATGTGCATGTTTGCTACATGGACATAATGCGTAGTGGTGGGGACTGGGTCTCAGGTGGCCCATTCCCCAGATAGTAAACATTGGACTCGGTAGATAATTTCTGAACCTTAACTCCCCCTCCTACCTCTCCGCCATTGGTGTCCCAGTTGCTTATTTTTAAATGAGATACACCTGTCCCTCGATATCCTCAGGGGATTGATCCTAGGACCCCTGTGGATACACAAATCAGAAGATGCTCAAGTTCCCGATGTAAAATGTCATAGTATTTGCATATAATCCATGCACATCTTCCCTTATATTTTAATCTCTGGATTATTTATAAGCCTAATACAATATAAATGTTATGTAAATAGTTGTTATACTGTATTGTTCTCTTAACTTGTATTATTTTTGCTGTTGTTATTTTTTTCCAAATATATTTGATCTGCTTTTGATTGAATCCACAAACGTAAAACCTGCCAAATGGAGGGTGAACTATATTTACAATATTGTTTTTGATTTATAAGAAGGGGAACCAACATATACATCAATTAGGGAAATCATTAGATACAGAGCTAAACAATGACACCAGATCCAGAATCACATAGTGTTTAACATGCTTCACTTGAGCAGCTGGGCTTCAGTGCCTCCCTGCAACTGGGCTGAAACATGAAAGCTACTCCCACACATAACTCTCTCTTTTTGAATTTCAACTTTCTGAGATAAGTATTCCATTATTTAGACTACTATGTTTCAGGATAAATTTATCTTTTGATGCTAACTGTCTCTCTCTGTCTTTCTCTCTCTCTCTTCCTCCTCTCTCTCTCTCTGTCTCTCTCTCTCTCTCTCTCTCTCTCTCTCTCTGTCTCCTCTCTCTCGCTCTTTCTCTGTGTCTCTCTGTCTGTCTCCCTCTCAAAAAAATTATCTCTTGAGTTCTCTGGAACCTCTCAAGTTATAGCAGAACTTTGTTTTGTTTTGTTTTTCATGACATGTTATCAGCACAAAAAAAGGTCAAGTCATCTTGGGTAATACATTCGGGTCTCTTGACGCAAACCCCAGTGGGTTTTCTCTCTACTCAGCTAGAGGCCAACTCCTGTAGCTAGCGCTCCCACTTCCTCCAAAACCTTGCATCAACTCTGACTGAGGAAGGGGCTGACCTTAGAGGTGAGGAGGAGCTGGAACAGTCACTGAGGCAGGAGGCTTCTGCTATGTCAGTGGGAGTGCTGTGGTCACAGCAGACAGGCCTTAGCACATAAACTGGCACATGTTGGAGAATACACCCCTTCTCAACTGAGCCTTAGAGCTACACAGGGAGACACACTTGGTGCACTCTCCAGTTAACTTGAGAAAATATAAATCCAAAGCAATTATAGTGGCTGGCCCCTGATCACACGTACTGAATGCCGAGGATGGAACAGAAACCCCATTCTCTTGGCTCCAACTCCTTTATGCTTGTTTCTATGCCTCACGGCCAATTTCTTTCTTTCTTTCTTTCTTTTTTTTGAGTTGGAGTCTCACTCTGTCGCCCAGACTGGAGTGCAGTGGCCGCTCCCGGCCACCGCAGCCTCGACCTGCTGGGCTCTCGACCTGCTGGGCTCTGGCGATCCTTCCACCTTAGCCTTCCAAGTAACTGGAATTACAGGCATGTGCTACCACGCCCGGCTGATTTTTTGATTTATTGTAGAGATGAGGTCTTGCTGCCCAGGTGGGTCTCGAACCCGCGGGCTCAGGCAATTCACTCACCTCAGCCTCCCAAAGGCGCGGGATTACAGGCTGAGCCACTGAGCCCGGCTACGGCCAATTTCTAAAAGTCATTTTCTTACTCTCTAGTTCAATCATACTCTCTTATAGGGAAGGAAGGATGCACTAATGTTAAGTTGTTTAAACTATTTCTCCTTCCCATGATGTATTAGCGGAAAAGTAATTCACTCATGAAATATTTACATGACCAATAAAAGTCTCTGCCATCATGAAACTTACAATCTAGTGGAAGGAGACAGATAATAAACAAGTAGAACATATAGAATGCCAGATGGTGATGGGAGCAATGGAGAAAAATGAAGCAAGAGTGGGAGATGGGGAGTGTTTTTCAGGAGAAAGGGCATATAAGCCATGCAGCTGTCTGCAGGAAAAACATTCCAGGCAGAGAGAAGAGTTAAGTGCCAAGATGCTGAGGTGGAAACATGTCTGGAATATTGGTGAAACAGCAGGAAGGCTAGTGATCAGGAGAGAGAGAGTCATAGATGATTTCAGAGAGTGTCAGGAAGCCCCATCGTGGAGAGCCTTATAGCCCACATAAAGACTTTGGCATCTATCCTAAGTGAGATGGGAAGCAGTTGAAGAGTCTGTGCAAAAGAATGATGAGATTTGACTTATATGTTAGAGCAGTTCTGTTTTAGAATGGACTGAAAGAGGGAGAATGAAGAAGCAGAAAGTTTTGCTAGAAAGCAATGGCGATGATCTAGGAGAAAGAAAATGATGGTTTGGGCCAGGTGGTAGGATTGGAGGCAGGAGTTGAATTCTGAATATACTGACAGAGCAAACAGGATATGCTGACAAACAGGATATGGAATGAATCACTGTATGGTGGAGAGTGTTCACTGACCAAGAATCCTGGGATTCTGAAATGGAGTTCCAGTCCAGCACACATTCACAATGCTACTGAAGGAAGTTACTGAAAAGCTTGCGGCCTCATTTTCACATCTACAAAAATGGGATTAATTATCTTCACGACATCACAAGGCTCATATGATTAATGATGTATGTGTAAACGTTGGCTTGCTTAGGTTGTATCACAGTTCTATGTGACCTTTATGCAACTAAATTAGCCTGGGCAACTGTGGAGGGGAGGATGAAATGACATCTGGGATATTTTGAGAGCAAATTTTTTCAAACAAAATACACTGTAGTTGTGAGGAAATAATTTAGGCAGTTTTCTTTTTAAAAGTTAAAATATCATTTCTTGATCAGCTAGGAATAATCATAGAAGAAAGCTGGTTCAAGAAAGTTGTTTTAACCAAAGCCTTATGATTCCTAGCAGTAATATGGATTTTCCACTCAATGGACTTAGATTTATGAATAGTTATTTAGTCAGTGATTGATGAGCCCCTACAGCAAAACTCCCCCCTCCCAAAAAAACCAAAATAAAAAAAACCCCTCATCTTCAGTTTCCATTTCAGTTAAGCACAAAAGACTTTCTGTTTTCTCCTATCTCTGAGGTGGTTTACCACCACCTTGGAATTTTTCTAAATTTTTACTAAGAAGAGATATATGGGATTGAATCATTCTAAGAGACTCAAGGTTTTTAACTTTCTCAATTTTGCTTAAATATGCAAAGCTCAAAGTATCTCTTTCTAATTCACAAATACCAAAAAGTAGTCCTAATTGAAAGTTCAGGACAAGTATGGGATGGCAGGGTGAGAAGGCAGGAGTCATGGAAAGAAAGCAAGACTATGGAGCTTCGCACCAATCTGCCTTTTCAGAGGGCTACACTCTGAGCCTCCCCTTTCTTCTCCTCTCTGTATTTCCCTATAACCTCACAAGCACAAGTCTTCCCCATCCAACATACCTATCCTAAGCCCAAGTCTCAATATCCTGGAAGGTAACTGATGAGCCATTTAATAAGCCAATTTAAACTGAATTATTAGTGATGGGTAAGGTTTAGTCCCAGGACTCTCTGAAGTCTCTGCACTTAGAGGAGGAGCTTCCAGAAAAGAAATGGCCTAAATTAAAGTCCTGGTTGAATGGTGAAATGCTCAGGTACTGTTTGGCAAGGAGTTCCTTTGAGAGAGACTCATGAAATCTTTTCATAAAGTGGTCTCCTTCTTTGCCTATGTTTTAAATTAGTAATCTTTAGTATTGTCCCTGAGACATTTCAGGGAGTTCACATAATCAAAAAAGTTAATGTCATAATAACACCAATACATTACTTGTCCTTTCATTCTCATTCTCTTACAAGTATACTGTGGAGTTTTCCAGAAGCCCTATGATGTATGATGTTGGCATCACTCTTACAACTAATAGGATGTATGCTTGTATATTTTTGTTTTTAAAATCGATCAGTTTTAATTTCAAATATCATAAATATCAATAGACATAATTCACATGACAAAAAAAGTTCTTTGGGGTTCCCAATAATACTTTTGAGTGCATTAAGGGGACCCAAGTCCAACATTTTTGAGAACTGCTTTATGAAGTCTTCCAGCCTGATGTAGCACCAGTTCAGCTGAGATACCAGAAATACAGCACAATACAGGGTGGTGATTCCTACTAAATTCAAAACCGTGTTTGCTAATCAGTTTGTAAAGGTTGGTATCTAAAAGTAAAATCAAAAGAGCACATACAAGGAAGTCTTCTAAAACTGATGGGGTCATATCAAAAGATACAGGTGTCAACTAGAAGGCGCTCACACTGGCCAGATCAGGGAATCTGATTGGAGATTTTAGTTAGAAACATCAACTGTGTCTTTTAGGGAGTAGGGGATGGAGAAGAGGGGAGAGCTTTACATATGAAGGGAAAATACAAGAATTATCACTCATTTCCACATTTTCCACGAGAATATCATAAGCCAAACACTTAGAGTTGACACTTTTAATTGTTCAATATTTTACTACAAATATAAGAAATAATACAGAATTAAATAACACATGAAAAGCTTACTAAATATATAAATATCCAATTCAACAGTCAAAACAACTTACAGTTTCATTCCTAATCACTGGATAGATACAGACGAAGCAAAAGATACTGAAGCAGCAACTAATTTGGTCTTAGAGCTACTTAAGATATAATATTGTTTCACTAGTTGGAACAATGTCATTAAAACAAAGGGACTGTGTACTTACATTTTTCTCCTCTGCTATGGAAAAAGATTCCAGCAGAGACAAAGCATATGAATTGGCTGACTGCTAAACAGGAAATCACCTAAACATCTGTTTTCATAATATATATTAATTACACTAGACTAAGTTTATAACCTAAAATAGGACTGGGTCATATTATAAGACAAATGGAGAAGGAAAGCATGCTTTTGTAAAAATGTGAGCTATTGTCTAAGACTAACAATGTTTATCCTGCTATAAAAATAGATAAGTTAAACGAGTAAGCTAAGGTTGCCAATGTTATTTCACAATAAATTCAGTCCCATGTTTGTTATAGTAAACCTCATGGAAGCACATGAAGAACAGCAGTGAAACCAAGGGTTCTAGCAAGGCCAGCAGCTATTAGCAAAACACGTAAGCAGATAGTGGACTAGATACCAAATGATGGGGAAACAGACGCATGGACCTAAGAATATGGGAAGGATAGATGAAATATCAACAGAAAGATGAAAGGTAGTCTCAGAAAAGTTCTTTGGACCTTTCTGCGTTCTTTCTTCACTCTCTTTTTCATTTCTTCCCCCTTTGCTTATTCTTTTTTTGTTTTTCTGGAATTACATGAAATTTTAGAGCGTAATGGTAAATTATCTGGTCCAACCTTCATACTGCAGATGAGAACGTAGAAACTCATTGAGGTAAAATGACTAACATCGGGGCCCTCCAGTTAAAGCCCACGTCAGCCCGTGAGCTAAGCGCTCCTGATTCAAAGTCCAGTGCCCTTTCCACAGCACAACACTGCATTGCTTTACAAAATCAAGTCCTACAACAGACCTGAGAGGTAAAAATGACTTCCTTTTGGAACTCAAACACTGAGTAGCTTAGATGGCAGTAGAAAGTCGTGGGATCCTTAAGCCTTTCGCTCCCACTTCTTTTGCTCTTTCAGGTCCTTTCGAGAATGGCCCTTTTCTCTCCTGCTTTCCTCGTGTGTCAGATTCAAGTAGACCAGGGAATAACTTTCAGGATTCTGTGTGACTCGTCTAGGGCTCTGGATAAAAGAAAACCAAGGTATTAACTTTGCGTATTTATAATTTCTATCCTAATAGATTTTAAGAAGATAAATAACAGAAGGATTAAGAAACAGAACTCTTCTAGTGTATATTCATTGGCAAAGATAAGGAAGTAGACATTCCTGACCCAATAATGATGTGAGGGGATGATGAGTCTCTTTAAAAGGACATAGATAGGCTGAACACAGTAGCTCACACTTGTAATCTCAATGCTTTAGGAGGCCACAGTGGAAGGATTGCTTGAGGCCGGGAGTTTGAAACCAGCCTGGGCAACACAGTGAGATTCTGTCTCTACAAAAAATTTAAAAAAGAAAAATTGGTCAGCCATGGTGGCATGCATTTGTAGTCTAGGTTACTTGGGAGGCTGAATCAGGAGGACTGCTTGAGCCCAAGAGTTTGAGGCTCCAATGAACTATGACAGCACTGCACTCCAGCCTGGGTAACAGAGTAAGACCCTGTGTTTAAAAAATAAAATATGGCTGGGCTCGGTGGCTCAGCCTGTAATTCCAGCACTTTGGGAAGCCGAAGCAAGTGGATTGCCTGAGCCCATGGGTTTCAGATCCGCTCGGGCAACTTAGCGAGACCTAGACTCCACAATAAAAAAAAAAAAAAATTAGCTGGGCATGGTAGCACCCGCCTATAGTTCTGACTACTTGGAAGACTGAGGCAGAAGGATCGCTGGAGCCCAGCAGGTTGATGTTGGAGTGGCTGTGAATGTGCATGTCATGCACTCAGCCTGGGTGATGGAGTGAGACTCCAACTCAAAAATAAAATAAAATAAAATACGATGACATAGGTAATTTCAGGAAATAATGCTTCAGTGAATCACCTAAGACTGCAAGTAAAGGAACATGTTCAAGAATTGCAAATGATGGAAATGTACTCTATTTATAAGGCCTTAAGCCTTGTTTCTAATAGATACTAACTTCCTGGACTTCAGATTGGAAATGGTCACAGGTAGATAGACAGAAGCCTTTTCAAGAGCTATTGGCTTTAAGCATAACCTGGGAGCATGTGGCCCTCCCGGCAAAGCATGTAGACAGTGAAGTTAAAAACCTGAAATTTTATCTTAACACCACCCCTCATTCTCTGTGTAATCTTTGGTCAATCTTTACCAGAACCTGCAAAGTTCTGCACATTTTAGGCCCTGATAATATTTCCAACATCAGGTAACAATGTCCCATGGAAGAACCATCTTTTTCCCCAACATAGCCCAATATTTTTATATTTAAATAATGAAAATAACTAGAAAAATGAAATAAAATAGCAAACATATATAATATGATTCATTTTTAAATGAATAGATTTAACAGATATAAAATTACTGTCAACTGCCTATCATAGTGTCTAAGTATTTTTTCCCATTTATGTACTTATTTTGCTTCAGACTAGAAAGAAACAGTAAATGGATGGACAACCATCCTCAGACTGTACTTCGAGTAACACTACTCTAAAAGATTAATATAATGACTTTTCTTCCTTAGCTCTTTCATATCTGCAGTTCGTTTGCTAGAAGTCACTTCTCCCTTCTCTCCTCCATAGCTGGCTCATTCTCTCCTTTCAGGTCTCTGATTAAACATCACTACTTTAGTGAAGTCTTCCCTAATAAATTCCACATAACTAACCTCCTCTTCAAGTTATTCTCTTTCATTGCATCCTTTATAGCATAATATTTCCTAATGGTTACATTCTCTTGTTTTAATAGTATATCCTTATTTCCTGACTCACTTGTTTCTTTGCTTCACCAGCCTGTAATCTCGATCAGAATGGCAATGTCCTGTTTTGATCCTATAATGTAACCAATGCTAACTACCATGTCAAGCACGTGAAAAATTATTAATAATTATAAAATGAATAAATGAATGAACTTAACCTCTGTGAGTGTTGGTTTCAGCACCTATAAGGTGGAAATATCTTTCATCTTATGGAAGATATTCCTTATATATTGGTAAGTATGTATATTCCTCATAGATATTACTCATAGATTGCTGTGAAAACTAAACGTAATAACTTCTTCTAGAAAGTCTAGATGTCTTGTCTCATGAATATCCAGTTAAATATTTAAAAATATTCCCCATGTCCTCCTTTCCTTCCCAGTCGCATTCCCACTTCTGAATCTAAGTACTCTTTTTCCCTGAGTGGCAAGACTATTTATTTTGAACTATCAACTAGCAATAGCAGAATTTACAATTTTCATATGATCTAACTACTGATTAGAATACAAAATAATAATCCAAATAGCCTGGTTTTCTTTAGCGATCACTAGAATACTTTTTTAAAAATCTCTTAAACCTGATTTTGAGTGATTGATTACTTGATTTTGCATCTGATCCAAAAAGGTTTATTCTTTCTCTAAAATAAAGTTTCCATATCAAATATATCTCCTCCCACCCCCCGGCAAATACCATGTTTTACTTACTGCCCTTTTTGAAACAAAACAGGATTCTTTGAACTCTGAAATACCTAAGAACCATCTGGAGTACTGGTTAATTTGCAAATACTCAGGACACACCTAGAAATTCTGACACTTTGTTTTTTCATGTGGTCCAACAATATATATATTTTTGATTGAGTCATCTATGAACCAACATTACGAGAGAAAAGAAACCGTGAGGTAGGTTTAGGACACACAGAATACAGGGTGAAGAAATTTAGTGCAGAGACAAGAAAACTGCCAAGTCATAGTAAGGACAGGAGAAACTAGATGAAAAATCCATGAATCAGAGCTGCTGGGCAACCTAGGGCAACTTTGGATCTACAAGCACCTTTACGTAGCCACTCTTCCTGACATCTGACAGTTTAGTTTCCTGGAAACCTACTCACAAAGTTTTACAGGAACTGCCCTCCCTCTGCCCCTGACTTGCGATAACTTGAGTAATTGTTCTTCACACCCTCTCACGGGGGGAAAAAAAAAAAGAGTCTAACAAAAATACTTTCTTTTCTTCAAAAAAGAAAGAGATAAGATTACAATATCAAGCTATCAATTTTAGACAACACAAGTTTATTTCAGTACATGTAGACCTTTGACACATATTTTCTGATCCAGTCTCCCCACAGTTTTAACTTTACTCCAAACTTCTCCCAAGATGCCACTGAAATGACTTAGACAGCAGGTCCTCTGACATCATTTTGCTCACCATCATGTTGTTATAACCTTGAAGAGAAAAGCAATAGATTCCTGTTGAAGGAATTATCTGTGCCAAGTCTGCATGTCCTTCCCATATCTGTGTGGGTTTCCTCTGGGTACTCCAGTTTTCTCCCAAGTCCTGAAGATGTATTGTGTGTTAGGTGAATTGAAGTGTCCAAATGGTCCCAGTGTGAGTGTGTGTGTGTGCGTGTGAAAGAGAGAGAGAATGAGAGAGAGAGCTCATGCCCTGTGATGGGATGGCATCCAGGGTTGCTTCCCACTTGCAATCTCAGCTGCTGGGACAGATTCCAGCCATGCACACTTCTAAACTGGAATCACTGAGTGAATAATTTCATTTATTTATTTCTATTGCTCTTTTAAAAATATATAATATGTATAGCTCACATTTATCTTCATGTTTAGTATTATAAGTGTTTTGAACTTTATTTAAAAGTTTGGTGATGTTTTTGTGACCGGAAATATGCCACAGGAACTTATCTCTTATTTATCTCAATTAGCCTATCATACAATTGGTTTCAATGTTAAGTGAGGACTTTCTGTATGTCTTCTTCCTTCCAAATACTCAAGCCCGTGTGTCCAAATGTCCAAACAAATTCAGGTAACTTCTGAAATCTTCCTCAAAGCTTACCTGATTGCTATAATCCCCAAGCCTTTCCCTCCATTTACCTTCTTCAACATTTGTACAACTAATGAAAATACACATTGATAAAGCTAAAAAGGACCTTAGATTTAGTAATAACAGAAACTAACATTTATTGGAAACTTAGTATATTGCACTGATATGCTGGAACCTCATTGGCTCATGCTGATGGTTAAATTGTTAGTAGCTTGAAATACACCCTGGTAGGAATATTTATATAAAAGAAGTTGGCAAAAGCTACAGATAATCACTCTGACCTTCTCCCTCCAAATCAGTTTGCCAGCAGACCATTGGTTTTAGGTACTATTCTGAGCGCTTGCATATATCCCCTTTTAAATCTTGATGACACTCTTATGAGATACAGTTAAATTATTATCCCTCTCTTACCCAATGAGGAAAGAGGTACAGGGAGGTTAAATGTCTCTCCCAAAGGTACTCAGCTAATTCGTAAAAGGATAGGACTTAATATCTCTGAGTAACTAGTCATAGCTGCAAATAAAATTGACCAAAAAGAAAACTATCAATTCTATATGTTGGTTAGAATAATCCTTACCAGAATTAACAGTTAAAAAGTTTAAAATCTTAAAGACTGAAATATTATAGAAATAAAATATGATATTCAATTTCTCTATTTTATGAAGATTTGGTTAAGACTAAAGGAATTTCAGTTAGACAGGAGTAATAATTTCAAAAGATCTATTATACAACAAGGTGGCTATAGTAAATAACAATACATTGTATTGTATACTTGAAAATTGCTGAGAATAGATTTTAAATTTTTTTTTTTTTTATTGTAGAGATGAGGCCCAATTGCTGAGGCTGGTTTCAAACCTGTGGGCTCAGGCAATCCTCTCACTTCGGCCTCCCAAAGTGCTGGGATTATAGATGTGAGCCACCGCGCTCGGCCATAGTGCTAATTTCTAACCCTTTTTGCTTTGTTTATAAGTTGGAGTCTTACTTTGTTGCCCAGGCTGGAGTGCAGTGGCACACTCCCGGCCACCGCAGGCTTGACCTGCTGGGCTCACCTCAGCCTTCCAAATAGCTGGAAATACAGGCACATGCTACCATGTACAGCTAATTTTTTGATTATTGTAGAGACGAGGTCTCCCCATGTTGCCCAGACTGGTCTTGAGCCCTCAGGCTCAGACAATCCTCTCGCCTCGGCCTCCCAAAGCTAGGATTATAGGCTT